CTGCTACCCACGCTGCTGACCTAATGCACATGCTTGATAAAACCTAGAGCATATATTACATTTTTTTAAAAAAACATTTCTAGCTCTCATGATTATTCTTGAGGGAAAAAGTGGCCCTATTCATGGAGGAAAGAAGAGCATTTTACGATTTCTCCTTTCACATAATCCAAATTCTCTATAGTATTATCATCTTGCACTTTGTCAGACAGGCCACTCCATGCAGCTCAGCACTGCCCCAGGAGCATCACACAACCTTGTACCCCCCCCCCAGATGTTGTGGACAACAGCTGTCCAAATCTCTTAATTTTGACAGTGTTGGCTGGGGTTGATAGGGGTTGCAATCCAAAATAGCTGGAGGTCACTTGGGTGGCAGGGGGTGGGGTAGACTGGATTGTCCTACAATGTCTGGCACCAGGTTCCCACATAACTGACAGGAGGTTTTCCCCCACCTCACTTGGAGATGTCAGTGATTGATTAAATTTTGGGATTTTGATGTGCTCTGCCAATGAGCTACAATTCTCTCATATCTTATATGTAAGCAGATATTTAACAAAGTATGAGTGTCTGAATGAAGGGGGACCGGGAAAAGAAGTTGGACCACATTGGATGCTTTCCTGTAAAAACTCTGCTGCAGTAAAAGCAGATCTTATTTCTGGAACAAATACTATACAGTTTCAAGTGCACATCTGTATGCTTAAAGTAACAAATTACTTGCAGAAGTAATCACCCAACAATTTACAGTTTGATTTTGTTTATTTGACATTTTTGCCACAATAAAGCTATTTTACATCTTCCCAGTGCTGCATGTCTTATGTACACCAAGTGGTAACAATGACAAATGCATCCATTTCAATTCCAGGTTGTAACACAAAAAATATAGAAACATCTAAAGGGTATACTTCTGCAAGGGACGGTATATAATATTTCTTTTATGACAGTTGTTCAGTTTTCTCATCTTCTCTTGAGATATGGTTGTAGTCTTTGTTTCTGGTAGCCTTGCAATGTGAAAGAGAACAAACTGAGGGAGAAATAATTTGACAATGCATTTCAAAACAAGCCTTCTTCTACTCAAGGACTTAAGTCTGAATAGAGCAACGTAGGCTTTGAAA